GTCCAAGATCTGCAGCGCCTGGCTGATGACCTTCTTCCCGAGCAAGCGGCCCAGGCGAGGCTGCAGGATCGTCTGCATGATCATGGACTTCACCGCAGGCTCCATCGAACTTAAAGCGTTGGCCAGCAGCGCTGCGATGTCCTTCGCGGCGTCCGCGCACTGCTGCCGGCCCTGCTCGGCGGAAGCGGCGCAGGACTCCAGCAAAGCAGCGCCCAGCTGGAAGAAAGAGCTGCAGAACTTTTGGCCCGGGGACAGAAGCTCATAGAGGATGGTGCAGAGCCTGAGAGCAGCTGACATTAAAAAAAAACGCAAGGGCTGCCAGGCGCCAGTGCAAAAGTCAAAGCGTGACGAAGCCCAGCGAAAGCGGAACAACGTAGATGCAACAATGCAACATGACGAGTCAGGCCGAGTCAGGCCGAGTCAGGCCGAGGGGCATGGTAGCTTCGGACACGAGGTCCTGGATGTTCTCCCCCAGCGCGGCCAGCTGTGACGCCCAGTGGTCCGCAAGGATGGTGGCAGGGGTGACCACCGGGTGCTGGAAGTCGGTGACGGGGAACAGCCACGGCACCAGCTTCAGGGCGGCCAACTCCCTGGCCTTCGGCAGATCCCCCAGGTCTTTCAGCAGCTCCAGGAAGTAGTTGGTGGCCGCCTCCGGGTGCTCGTTGGCCATTTCCAGCAGGGGCCGCTGCAGGCCGTAGACCAACGCCATGCCCACGGCGCTGATGTCCCCGTCGCTGCGGGCCACCACGTTCACCGAGAAGTCCAGCAGCGCCAGGAAGAAGGACCGCAGCTTGCGGCGGTTCTCCGTGCCCAGGGCCGCGGAGGTGCGCGTGCGGACCCCTGAGCGGTGGCCTTGTGGCCACCTCTTCAAAAGCACATGAAAGGCGGAAACGCACAAAGGCGGAACAAAGAATGCGGGCTACCCGGAAACGCAACTGGAATCACCTGGAATCCTTGAACTGAGCGGCGTTGAATCAATTTCAAGGCTGCTGTCGGTGAGCAGCCTGCCAAGAGCTTCTCGACTGACAGCCGGTCAGATGGACACTCAGGGGCAAATGGTAGGCCCTCTTCGCCGCTCGCATTCTTCATGAAGTGCTTATACGGCTTCTCAGCTTCGTCGATCCTCATGAGCTTTATGCAGTCCTCCCCGAGACGGTCGTCCTCGTCCTCATCTTTACCATCCTTGGCCTTGTCCTCCATGTCTGCGCCCAGTGCATCTCCCAGTTGTGCATCGCCTTCTGGCTCCAAAGCGTCCTCTTCCTGCTCCTCCTCTTCTCCCTCCTCCTCTTCTTGATCATCTTCCGCCTCCCTGTCGCTGGCACCCATCACCTCACTCTCCTCGTCCACATCTTCAGCTAGACCATCGGTTCGCGCCAACCTCTGCCTTTCCAAAGCCTCAAGCTTCTCTGCCTTCTCGCGAGCAATCTCTTCTGGCGTCTTCGTGCGTTCAGTGGCTGTTGCCTTCTTGTCGAAGACCAGCTCTTTCAGCAACTTGTCGTAGGTGTCTGGCTCTGCACGATCAATTGGCCGCTGAGCCTTGCTCGGCCGGAAATTGAGCTCACCCATGATGGAGGAGAAGTCCTTGTCCAAATCGCCCCTCTGACGTTCCAGCTCCTCCCTCTCCCGTGCCGCCTCCTCCTTCCGCGCACGGCCCATCTCGATGATGTCGTCCATGGTCGTGCCGGGGTCCTCCTCATCGCTCTCCGCTGAACGTCTGAGCTCCGAGTCTGGCAAGGAGCTGAGAGGCTGGCCACCGTGGTGGAGGTCCTCAGTGGACAACTTCCCCAAGTTGAAGCTCTTCTTCGCTTGGCGCTGCCGCAAGCGCACCAGGCGCTGCACGCCAGCGCCGTCGTCCGCATCGCCGCCCAGGCGGGCGTCGCGGAACTTGGAGCTGCGGCCCGCCGTGAGCTGATCCTGCAGCAGCTTCTGCTTCCGCTCGCTGGTCGCCGCCACGCGGCTCCTGGCCACGTTCCGCTGCTCGCCCTTCACGCGCTCGTTGAGCACGGCGTGCCGCCGCCGCTTGTTCTGGAAACCTGGACACAGCGAGTAAAGTGACTGAGAAAAGGAGAAAAGCAAACATGTAAAATCTATAGAACAAGTTCAGTTCAAGAGCTTCAAACGCCAAAGGAAAGTTCAGTTCTCAGCACAGCTTCTGTCGTACGGGTTGGGGCCCGCTTTCTCAGCTTTGGCACCGCGGCCGGACGATCCGGGCTCGGCTTTGGCGCGCTTTTGCTTGCGTGCCATGGCTACCTGCAGCATCCCGAGTTCACAAGAGTTACTGGCTTCCTGAGAGCTGGGAACGCACACAAGAGTCACAAGATCAAATTCAAAGACGTCCTTGGAAGAAACGCATCTCTATCATCCTGTGGCCTTGAGCCGAACATGTGCAGGAAGCTTTCTGCTGCTGCGGTACGTGACTGATGGCACCTTTTCAACGCCCGTCTCGTTCCGATCAATAATCCATGCCACAGAAGCCACCTAACTCTTTGAACCTCAGCTCAGGCAGTTGGCAGTTGGCAGAAACTATCACAATCTTGATGAAGGCCGGGAAGCACGATCTTCTGCATCAAGGGGGAATTCTTGATAGTCATGTGGTCCGTGTCCACCTGAAGCAATCGCAATGGTGAGCTGCGCGTTCAACAAGCAAGCTTTTGCCCGAGGCACTTCATGATATGTGAAATCTTCCGTAGTCCACTCAGCCCACTTCTTAAAGGCATCCGCATCCCAGTTGCAGCCCGAGTCTGGATTTGAGCCGGTGATCTTCTTTCCTATCCAAGAGGGCAGGTAAGAGCATGGAAAACTACTGACATGAGTGCAGCTCAGGATCGTTGATCCCAATACTGTGCCTGAGGACCATCCAGCTCTGCAAAGTGCCTGTTAGCATCCTTAGACAGCTTGTGGGTAAATACAGTGATTTGCAATCTGAAATCGACTTTCATCCACTCACCCCTCCCGACAAATAAAGGCTTCAGTCTTGTGCGAGCGGTGCGTCTAGTGTGTGTTTTGCCACCAGCACATGCAGATCACAGTTGAACTTGTGGTACCTTAGCAAGTGTTGCACGCACAAGGCCACACATTGCACAGTATTGCGGCTTGAGCAGTGCTACGGATCTCCTCGTGACGCTCGGCGTGCATGCTCTTCGAACAGCCGCAAGCCGCGGGACCACTTCCTCGGAAAAGGGCAAAAACTGCCGGATGCGTCCCGCGAATTCCTCTATATGCAGGTCGTCGTTTCACATGCCCCGAGAAAGCGTGCAAATGCGTGCCAAGATGTGCCCATGTATAGCTCTGTGATTTGCAGAAAGGCCGCTGAATGAGTGCCTCCGCTTTGGGATTGCCTTTGCCACCCATCTTCTCGTATTGCTGCACCGTGTCAGGCTGGAAAAGGCGATAGAACCCAAGCACGTCCTGGCACCTCGGGCATTATGCCCTTCAACACCCTTCAAATGGCTCTCTTGACCGCCCTTGAAAAGCCGCCGGGTTCCGTGCAGCAACTGGTAGCCCTGCTCCGAAAGGGTCTGCACATTGGGCGGTGGACCATCGTTGGAAAACACCACTAGGGGCTCTAAGTTGAGCTCCTGAAAGTCGCTTGGCTTGGCCCTCCAAGCTACACCCTAGCTGCAATTCTGCTCATTCTCTCCTGCTTGAGACGGTACGCCAGCAGCGCCATGAACTGCCCTCCGACCCCGTGCGACAAGAAGCCAAAGGGCGCGCCCTCAGAGACGCCCCCACGGGCGTGGGTCCTCAGTGCACCGCATCACTCTCATCGCCCTTTGGCCCAATGGCCCTTCGGCACTAGTGCATGGCATCGCCATGCATCGCCATGCATCGCCATGCATGGCCGTTCGGCCGAACTGGTCATCCTTCGGCCTTCTCAAGTTTTAGGCGAGCGACTCAAAGGCTGGCCGCATAACGGTGAAGGCGTCTTCCGCACGCTCCTCCAGGCTCAAATCCCACGGTTCATCTGGCCGGAATCCATGTGCCCGAGGCTCCTGAAACATGGACATACATGGACACCCTCCTTCCCAGTTTGGCCAGAAGAAATCCGAGGCACGTAGACTGCTACCTCACACCACTCAGGCGCAGAAGTGGCAAGCTCCAACCACAGCCTCACACGTGAGAAAGCGAACCCCCATGGCTTGAAAACCAAGTCAATTGCAGGGCCATGGACTGTACGCAACACGAATTGCACGACTCCCTCGAGGCACATGTAGTTGTCTGCCGCCCCGGGGAAGCAGTACAGTCGGATCATAGGCTTCCGGGACCTCTCAGGAAACCTCTTCTTGTCCTTCGCGGAGCATGGGAACTGGAAAGCGAAACAAAAAAAAAAAAAAACGATTCGACTAACAGAGGCATGGGCCGGCATGGGCCTTTTGCAGCTTCTGGGCCCCCTCACCGTTTCCCACATGCCCTTATGCGCCCTGCAGTTGGTTTGCGCCGCAAGGCTGACTTGAGGCGAATGATTTCTATCAATTTTCTGTTGCCGGGGTGATTTGGGTCTCTCACTGGGTGCCCCGGGTCCGTCAGGCTCTCACTCGTGCTCTCGGCCTTGTCCGGAAGCGCCGCCCAGGTCGGTAGGCCGACGGTGCGTGGCATCACTGGCAGCTGTCCACCTAAGTAGTCGCCGGGAGGCTCCACCAGCAGGACCTAGTCACATGGACGACATGGACGACTTAGAGCACTTCTTTCAAAGCACTTCTTTCAAAAGTCCTGTGAGTCTCGCCACGTGTCGCAGCATGTGTCGCAATTTCTCAAACGCTGCCTTCTTCTGCAGAAACTCATCCAAAAGGTGGGTGTCGACCTCAGCTTAAGCACCTTGCTGACATCTGGCCCTTTGCTTGAGGCCCACCGCGTTCAACTGCTCGAAACGTTCGCCCCTTTTCTCAATGCATGCTTGGTCGCGTGGTCTGTTACTATTGGTCACCCTTGGCGGCGACTGAATCCATGGCAAACGCAGGCCAAACGCCTTGCATTCCCCTGCTCATTCGACGTCTCGTAGCCAAGAACGGCTGTAAGAAATCCAAGACTTCAGGGAGCAAAGCTGCTCGCCGGGTGATCCCCAGCAGGCGGCAGCGAATTGCCGAAGCGCTGGCACTCCATGCCCTCCACGCCCCGAAGCTCGTGCAAAGCATACGCAGCCGCAAGGCGTCAGCCACATTTGTCACATTAGTTACATTAGTCACAGTTCAATGCATGGCAGTGTCGCCCTTAAATCTCAACTCAGTTGAACTCAAGCCTTGCTCAACAGGCTTGCGTGCCTTGGCAGGTATTGTCAATGCCCTTCCGGGCATAGTGTTGTCGCAGCGGAGCGAATTGAGGTCGAGAGAAATCGCCCCAGCTTGTCAGCGTCCCATGCCGCGAGAAAAATAAGGTCGACATTCGCCGAGCAAAAACCAAAAAAAAAAAAAAAAAAACACACACGCGTGCAGCCTCAAGGCCTGGTTTTGTGGATTTCGAGATTTGGACCCCATACTTCCAACCTACCCGTACACGTTCAGCATGCAGGCCTTGTCCAGTCTGTGAAACCTAAAGGTGATTCAGTGCAATGGCTCACTCAGGACACCACGCAGCAGCTGTTGGACTCCCCGGCTCGATTCGCCCTCAGCCAGGGATTGCTCGCCAACTCCTTGCGTGCTCTCGGACGCTTCTTGGGGTCAACCACCAGCAGGGTCTCCACCAAGCTCCTCACCTCCCGCGCCTTGAGAGCCCAGCGCTCCTCGTAGAAGGGCACCTCCAGAGTCTCAGGCTGCGACAGCCGCTGCACGATCTCCGGCTCCTCGAGGGGCCGTTGCTCCTGGAAGTTGTACCAAGGGTCCATGCAGATCGCACACATGTAGAGCACCATGCCGATGGCCCAAATGTCCGTCTTCTCGTCGTAATCCTTCTGCAACACCTCGGGGGCCATGGTCAGCACGGTGCCCACCACTTCGTGCAGCCGCTTGGTCTTCTTGGTGAGCCTGGTGGCCAAGCCCATGTCTATGAGCTTCAGGGTGGACACGCGGCCGTTGTCCATCCTCATGTAGTTCTCCAACTTGATGTCGCGGTGCACGATGCGGTAGTAGTGCAAATAGGCAGCCCCCGAGAGCATCTGCCAGGCGTACTTTGCGATGATGTCCGTTTCGAGGCCCACAGTCCACCGGCCCATATCGTCTTCTTCCATGCCCTTGGTGCTCACATAAGTTGCCAAGGAACCTCCCGGACAAAATTCCATGACCAGGTAGAAGTAATCAACAGACTCATAGGATGCGTGCAGGCGCACAATGTTGGGGTGGGAAAGCTTCCTCGCAACCTTGAGCTCTTTCATGAAGCTCTGGTCTGAGTGCAAGCGCTCGCGGGGAATGATCTTCACGGCCACCACCTCTGAGCTATTGAGGGCCTTGCCCTTGTACACAGTTCCGAAAGCTCCGACCCCCAGCTCTATATCCAAGCTGTAGTCTTGGCTGGCAGCCATGCTGAATATCGCGACCTCGTCGCGATTTCTGACCTGCACGGGCACTTGCAACCTCTCCAGGTGGGAGCGCGTGCTGCTGCCTGATCTGACCGACTCAGCCATTGAGTCTTCAGTGATTTGTCGCTGCCTTAAGCCCATAAATGCCGGCTTTCCAGGGCCGGAAACTAACGTGTCTTCCGTGATTTGCCGCCTGAAGCCCAGTGAAATTTTGCCACCGTCGGATCTTACAGAGCCAGCGGTGGTTTGCCTTTGGAATCCGCTCCTCTCATTTGAGGTCTGCCTAATTCCGTAGCCTAGTGTGAGTGAAGGTGACGGGCTGTGGCTATGGATTCCGCTTTTGGAGGTCTGCCTCTGGTCGGAAGGGCTGTGGAGTCCGTTTTTTGAGGTCTGCCTCTGGTCGGAAGGGCTGTGGAGTCCGTTTTTTGAGGTCTGCCTCTGGTCGGAAGGGCTGTGGAATCCGTTTTTTGAGGTCTGCCTCTGGTCGGAAGGGCTGTGGAGTCCACTGCTCGTGTTTGATGTCTGCCTGGGCCCGTAGCCTCCCAAGGAAGGGCTGTGGCTGTGGTGCCGCACTGTGCTGGCAGTTCGTGTCAGAACTGTATATCGGTTCATCTGCGCGATCCTTGAGTCCTCCGAGACGAAGAGTACAGCTGCAGCGTCATCCGAAACCCCGACGGACACTTGCCGTCCACGTTTGGTCAGAGCTGGCACTGAGATTTCATCCGCCTTGCGGTCCACTGGAACCTGGTCCACCTGCTCTAGGACGGCATCCGGAGCGTTATGGCAGCACCACATTTGATGCCGATCGCGGCTCGCCCCAAAAAAAACTAGGGAGGCTCACTGTATGCCGTTCTCGAGCCGCTGGCCTATCTGGGACACACAAGCATTCGACAATATATCCGCAGCAAGGTAGACTCGTCTGAGCAGACTACTCTTGTCGACTGCATGTCCATGCAACAAAAACACTTTGCAAGTTACTGAAATGGCTAGTTCATCAATAGTTAAGCGTGTACGCGGCCCTGCTTGAAAACCACAATGGCTCTGAAATTTGCACTGGTGCGAAATCGTTAGCGGGCTTTGTAATATTGGATGCTCTCTTTTCAACCATGGATCTTACATTGCACCTCGGATCCTCCGCCAGTGTCAAACACGCGGATGTAGCGCCAACTCGTTTATCGCCTCTTGCACCCCTTCTGGGAAAACAAAACTACAGTCCGGAAGCGGACTCGAAGCAAATGGCATTGGCACGGCGACACGTTTCCCTTTCCTGGCTCCCAACTCCTAAGCCCTCGTGCCCTCCGCTGATTTGGAATTGGGCTTTGCGCTTCCCGCGCCGGCACGGCAGCATGCAGCGCCATGCTGGCTTAAAAACCCAAAACGCCCTCGCACTTTCGGGCTGTGCGTTTTTCCCATTGGCACGGCAACATACTGAGCCCTGCAGCTCGCAGTATCTTGTGACGGAAGACCGGCCGCGAACTCCGCAAAGTGCAAGGCCCGAGTCCGGGCCAGGTTGGCTCCGAGGTTCGCAAAGCAAACGTTGCCGCGCCAATGGCTCCAAAATGCTCGAAGGTACGCAGGGGGCTTAGCATTTTGAGGTTGTGCCTTGAGAATTGCTTCCTTGTCCTGCAAACAAGTTCTAGGTTTATTGACTGCGCATTGCTTTGCAGTGTTGCTGAAGACCAAGCGATACCAAGCGGTTTGTCTGAGCGCAAGCGCAGTGCTGGGAGGTAGCGTTGCAGCTTGGAAATCGAATAATCTCTTCCCCCTATTAATAAATACGCCCCCTATTATAAATAAATCCCCACAAAAATATGTTTTTTGTTTAATTGGGTTTTTTGGGGTTGGGTTTTTTGCATTTCCAACAATGTGAGGGTTCACATAGGATTTGGAGGAAATGCATTGAATTGTAAGGTCCGCGAGTAAGCGGTTTAATAAGGAAATTTGATGTATCATTCTATTTTCCGTTTACTGGTTGTTTGTACGGGAGAGAGACAGTCGCAGCTAGACACTACCGCGGGGAAGCCAGCTTTTGGGGAAGCAACCTTTTAAGGAATTCATCTTTTGAGGAACCAACCTTTTTTAAAGTGGGGCTGGAAGCTTGTTAAAAGTGCCCCCTAATAAGGATTCCAAGACTTTAGTATTGGTTTAGTATTGGCGCAATGGAAAATCAATTGCGCGGAGTGGAAATCTGATCCCGGGCCCCGGATTTCCATTTTTTATTAATGGGGGTCATTCATTAATAGGGGGAGCGGATTATCTTGCGCAGGCACGAGCACATAAGCTCGATCAGCACAAGCGCAGTGTGAGCTGTAAACTTGGGCAGCTACTTGGACATCGCGACGTTAGGGTACTGGCAGCCCCAGCTCGAAAACTGCAACTCTTCAGCCACCATGATGAAACTTGCAAGGGTGTGGGGAAGGACACGCAAAGGGCAAGCGCTGTGAAAAACATTGTTGTTTTTGTTCTCCCCTTGTTATGATGTTTCCCCAGTTCTTGCTTTTTGCTACTTGTGGGCAAAAGTGTCCTTTGACAGCTCCAACTTGGCAATCGCAACTTTTCAGTGCAAGTGTAACGCGTGAAGTACGATTTGACCCAGAACTGGTCCTACAACACAAGCGGTGTCGTTCTTTCGCAGTTTGGAACCAGCATGTGACCTATCCCCGGCAAGATGCTGCGAGCAGCCAGCTTCAAAGTTGCAAGCCGTCTGCGCACCGGCAGGGTGCGAGTTGGGCGTTGCCGCTAACTTGAATGCCCTAAGCCCTCGGCATACTACCTGAAAGGCGGAATCGGTACTGTGCTTTGCTAAATTCCAAGGGCCTTGTGTTCTGTTTGCTTGTCTTGAAGGCCCCAAACGTTGACAAGAAACACGGTGTACGAAGTATGCTTCGGCAGCTCCAGCATGCTCCAGCTACAAAAGCGCAACTTTAAGCTTCGAGCGCAAGCACAGCCAAACACAGAAAGTACACATGGGCAACTCCAGTTCGGAACCTGCAACTTCACCGCACAGCAGTACACGCAGCAGCGCGCGAAGTGCACTCGGGCAGCTCCAGCTCGGAAATCACGGCTTTTCGGTACAAGCGCAATGCACCACGAAACCTCAGCTAGAAGACGGCAACTCTTCAGCCATTGGAATGAACTTGCGAAGATGTGGGGGAGGCGTGCAACGTGCAAGTTCTATAAAAAACGATAATATTCCCCTATTAATCTAAATGTCTTCCAAAAAAAAGAGTTTTGGAAGTCCCAAATCCGGGAATACTACTTTTAGAATAGCCAATGCTAAGCCCATTCCACGGTAGGAATTTCCTGCCCGTACTCAAATCCAGCCCAATTAGGGGGACCCGGGAGTACGTTTCCTTTTCTACGGTCGTAGTACAAAGTTACGACTTTCGAGCCGGAGCTCCGATCCAAAAGTCACAGCGAAAAAAACAAACATGACCTCGACTTCTGCTTGTAAAGTTCCTTACTCGGAAATGGGCGTTTGATGCGATTTCACAGACCGCAAAGGGGGGAGCACAGTTGCAGACAAGCTTACAAAGAACAAGAGGTACCTCCAACACCTGCCCTCCAGAACCACGGGGCCACGGGACCCCGAATAATAACATGGTCTTGCCATCAAGTCTTGCCTTTTTGCTACGTTCCCAGCTCACACGCCAGCTTCCGCGGTTGCAACAGTTCAGTACCAGTGCAGTGCAGTGCACAAAGTACACTTTGACAGCCCTAGCCCGAAACTTGCGCCAACCGGGGGTCTAAAACAGACCTACTTTTCGCTTTAGCGAACCGCGTCTTGTCCACACACCTTCGTTTGCAGGCGCTGTGCTTTGAGGGTTCTCACTGTGCCGACTGCGCGCTGTTGCGATTTGTGTTTCAGGGGTGTTCGTGTCGAGGCGTCTTGCTCGGCAGGCACGCGCGCACGGCCTAGGGTTGCTTGCGTTGCTCTCGCGCAATCACGTCACGTTTTGTGCTCGTCCCTTGTTTCAAATGCCGGTGCCCGCCAAGACTTGCACCCTTGCGCGGATCACACTTCCCACCAGGGGCCACTTCTTGCTTGTTTCTATTCCCCTATGTTCGCGGAGCATGCACTGCTGAAAGCCTGCACAGCTCAATTTGCCTGGTCAATTTCCTTCGATAGCTTTGAAAGAAATTGACTCTCATGGCCAAGCCGAGCGCCGAGCATCCTCCACCTCAATGTCGGACGTGGCAGGCATTGGCAGGCCACTCACAATTTCAGTTGCGACATGCGACCCCATGCGACTCCATTCAACGCCTATGCCTTGTGCCTGGTGGCATGTACCCGTCTTGACAGTCTTGACAGTCTTGACACCGACCCCGAGCCTTCAGCGCTGGGGTCGGGCGTGCCTGCACGCAAGCACGCAAAGGCTTCATTGGTCATCTGTGGCCGGGCGCCTCCGCACTTGCCGTGGCTGTCACAGCAGCCGTTGCCGCAGAAGATGTCTTGGAAGGCTCCTCAGATGCAGGCCCGCTCAACGCTGCCAAAAAGAACCCAAGACACAGCAACAAGTTGCAGCGCACAAGGCGCATGGCACGATTCAAGATTCGAACATGCATCCATGCATGAGGCGACCAGCACATCAAGCCTTGGCTCGACTGCCTTAAGCAATTCCTTGCCCTTCAGGCTGAGTGCCACCTGGAGATCAAACTCTGAACGGCCCTCAAGCTCTGCGCAAATGGCGCGCTTCAGCTTTGCACAAAGTTCTCTCAACTGGCAGATGAGGCACCCAACCGCTTTGTGGCCCATTTCCAGAAGTAAGAGCATACCGGATTCTGTCACCGTTCCTCTCCATCTCGTCCACGACTTGGCACACTTGACCCATACCACGTCAAATGCACAACTTCATCGTGAGGAATTCTTGGCTTTAGCGAGGGCAACTTGTTTGTGCCAAGGGGCTTGATCCGGTAGTCAAGCGCTCATCCAACCTCAAGGACGTGAATCATGCTCTTACAGCTTCTAAATTCATGATAATTTTAGGCTTTTGATAGCTCAATATTTGGCTGTGGCTCAAAAAAGTGGTACCAAAATGGCACCTTGGTAAATGGAACCAAAGACTAAAACCCGCGTAACCCCAGGCTCTTTAATTTTGAGCCATACCCATTTAGCAATTGTTTCCGAGCGGCTGCGCAGCGGTGGTGCTCGGCCCATCTCTGACAAGAAGGCCGCCCTTTTCACCGCCTCCGACAACCTCCCAGCGCCTCGGGCAAAAGCGACATGCAACAACTGACGCCATGAAAGCTCCGCCTGACGCCCATCATCCATCAGTGAATCAGGATAATCAGGCTCAAGCGGACTAAAGCCACAGTCTGCGTATGACAAATGTCCCAATTTCTCGCTTTATTGACATCGCTTCTTGTATCGTGCGGCTCGTGCCGCTCGCAGTGCTTGCGGCCTTCTGACAGGAATACTTTGCTTCCGATGCGCCGTTGGGTTAGCTGGCTCCGAGCTTGAGACATTCTAAGCAGCTAGCACGTGAACTTGACAGTCGTGACCAACAAGTGTAAACCTACAAATGCTTCCCCCAATTCGGGCTTCAGGGCTCATTTGTCAACAAGTCGAGTTGATTGCCGCAGCTGGCTTGCTTGGAGATGGCATATGGTGGTTTGTGTTGGCCGCTGCTTTGCGGGCAGGCAACAAACAGTACACTGGACAAAAACGGCCGTTGGTGAAGGACCATCATTGCTAATTCAGTGTGCTGAGAGTTCATCCCGTCATTACAGCAGCGCCAAACATGGCTCAACCAGAACTTGCGTGGCACTGGAAAGGTTCCTATACGGGTGGTTCTGTTTCACATAGGAGCTGTGCGCGCATGACCAGAAATCTGATCTGTGAAGGTCCGACACTGCTCATTGAGAACCGCCAACTGTTCAATTGCACGTCTAGTCTTCCCAGCTTCCCCCCGCGCTGTCCACTTTTTGTTCCAAGCCTAGAGCTCGTCACAAGGCCGAACTCTGGTGCCTGGCCGATGGAAAAAATACATGCGATGGCGGCCGTGACTTCCCCGATCGCCTGGTATGCCATTCGTCCAGTGGCCCACCTGGGGGGCGCAGCCTTCAAGCAGGGGGTTCTCTTGAAGGCCAAGCTGGATGTGCTCCCTGTCTAGGAGCCGCATCACCTGAAATCGAAAGAGAGGAAAACACACGAAAAAATTACACCTTGGGAAGCTGGAAGGCAGAATCTGGGCTCCCCGGCAGGCTCCGGCACCCGGCCCTCCAAGCGATTGCCGTGCAGCCTCGGTGCCCCTCCGGCAACCCATTTCTCACGCGGATTGGTCGAGGTATGTCGAGGTGCTGAAGCTTCAGAAAGGGCAACGAGCCCAAGGAGGCTGGCACAGGACCTGCCAAGGAGCGCATTTCATGCGGTGGCGAAGGGCGGACCCACCTTCGAGGTTGTTGTCGTAGAGGTCCAGGGACTCAAGCTTTGGCCACAAGTCCCCGATGTTCTCCTCGGGTATGCTAGTGGATGGCAAGTCCCATTGCTTCAAGTGCAGTCCAGCCACCGGAATTCGGCCAGTGAGAAAGTTCCCGTCCAGCCAAACTTTTTGGATGTTGGGCCAGTCGAGCTTTAGGAACTCCTTGCTCGGTACGTTTCACTCTGCGAATCTCTGCGAGCATGCTCTGGCAACGGCCTGTCCTCGAAAGGGAACGAGAACGAGAACTCCGGGCATAGGAAGCTAGGCCCTTCCTGGAAGTCACCCCAATCCGAGTTCGCGGCGTCGCCGCTCCAATGGCCCTGGCAACTTGGCCCCGAGATTGCAATGACGTGGCAGGGTGCCTTCGTCTCGTGCTGCGTTTCCCACGAGGCTTTGCAGGCGCTCGCATTGGCAACATGCCGGAGTGCACAAGGTATCATCTCCTTCGATTCGTGCTGCGCATGCTCGTGCTAGGCGCCATGAAGGAAAGCGCATGCTCGCAAAGACTTCTTGCCCGGCAGGTGTCCCACTGCCGAAACGCCACAAAGGAGCGAAGGGAGTGAAGACCGCGCAATGCAGTCGGCGGCAACCTCATCATGCAATTGGAGCCTCAGTGGACTATGACACGTGACTAAATTCATCGCCCCTGCAAGTCAGGCGCTGTTCCTCCTCTCAAGGCCGGTTTTGGCTTAAAATGTGAAACAGTTCGATGCAGTGCTGCGTTGGCTATTCAGCCTGGCCCCTTGTGTGCCAGGGAAATTGTTTAGCGCCAACATCCTTTCCATTCACTCAGAGCTGTCACATTCCAGGTCTGAGTCTGGCTCAGTTGGCCGGAAAGAGGGCGTGAGCAGAACCACAGCAGCAAGGCTTGCACATAAAGGCCGCGCCACGCACACCGCGATCCAAGTTGCCCAGGATGGACTCCAATCATTCGTTGGCTCGTGCCGAATCCGCCTGAAGATGGGCACTTGCTGAAGCTCATCCCAGCCCTGAACTATGGAAACCACAAGCTGCAGCGCAAAGCTGAAAATGGCTGCAAGAGTCCAAACGGAGAGGGCGAACCGCAGCCTGCTGGGGTCACACAGCGACAGCCACGCCCAAACTGGCATAAAAGCCACCATGAATATGGCACATGCAGCAGACAAAAAGGCCACCCAGTCAGGAAAAGTCATGTCAGCACCCTTCATGGCTATGGAATCTACGGCCGCCATGAACCACACCATGCCACCAATTGCTGCCCTGGTCACAAAATTTGGGATGCCTGCCCCGTGGATGTCCCGACCAGAGTCGTAGGCGCGTCTCAAGGCCTTTGTGTATGCACCCGAAAGCATCAAAACGCGAATGGCAATGTCTACGTCTGACTGCGAGCCGTCGATGGCATGTCGAATGCGATCTTCGTCCAGGGGGTTTGAGCAGTGTGCATCGCACACAGTTTGGCATGACAAATTCTTAGCTTGAACTGCTAGCTCCCTGGTTTCGAGGATGTGCAAGTTGAGCTGGACAACACAAATCACATTGAACATGCACAGTCCGCCAGGCAGGAAAAAGTGCAGCAGCACGTCTGCATGATGATGATGCGATGCAGGCAATATTGACCACGGTAAGATCAATGCCGCACCGACTGTGATCAAAATAATGTGGATGCACCGCACACAATAAATGCGCCAAGCTGAGTTGAATGGGGCGGTTGCAGCAAGCAGGCCCATACAGCATGACGCAATGCCAGACTGCATCGCCATGTCCACTGCCTTTGTGCTGCAGCTTCCGTCTTGCACCGCCCTACGCCAAGCCAAGCCCGCAAGAATGCCAATAATGAAAGGCATCACCATCGTTCTGAGGGCAAGACCGCATTGTACGGACTGCTGTGGAGCAACTGGCATGATGCATACTTTATTCATTGTTGTACCGAGGTAAGCCTCATAAACACACCAAAGCCGGCTGTAGATACTTATCTTCGAGTTGGGGATGACCAAAATATGGGATGCGCTCTGGAGGGCCAAGGCAAAAGGGTTCTGCAAAGGATCCACGCTGAGAAAGAGCTCCATGTCCAAATTCTGGGGGTTGGCCAAAAGGCAGCAGTACATGTTGCGCAGGCCCCGGCCAAAGGGCCACGCCCTCTGAATATTGCAGCTGAGTTCAAAAATGCCCTCAGCCCAGGCATGTGAAACAAAGACATGGCAGGGCAAACCTTCGGGATGAAGAAGGAGTGCATAGCTCATGCCTGCAAGCGTCTTCGGCTTCACAAAGTGCTGGTTCACTTGGTACAAGTTCGGCCCATGCGTGGGGCTGTGGTGGAACGAATCCTGCTTGGCCCCCGCGTGCGCGCCAGGGCTGGGCGTGTTGGGCACGAGGCCCTTGCGCCATGCGACTTTCACCTCGGCGACGAAAGCGAAGAACTCGGCTTTGGTGACGCACCACCTGTCCGCAGGCACACGTCTGTGCAGCTCCATGCGCGCCGGTCGCGCCGCGCTAGGCCAAGCTGCTTTGGGCACTGCGGCCGGGAGAGTGGCGTTTGGATGCTTGTGGACCCGTGGCATGAGTGGTCAGCATGATGGCATGTTTACTGGCGCGTGACGTCTTGGGCACTTAGCTCACACGGAGCTGCCAAGCCACAATAGAAGTTCCGCAGGTGCTTCATGCCAGCCCAGCAATCCGGCAAAGTGCCGCCGGCAACCTCAATAGCCTTGGAAGAGATTGGCTGGAGTTACATTCCAGGAAGCACCGGGCCCGCAGCTGTCAACATACACGGTAGAGGTTAGCCAAGCCACAAAAGCGACAAAGTATGTCAAGTTCAAGCCACACAACGCTGCAAAGTCAATCTTTGTCCAGCGCAGGTTGTCCTGTACGAATACGCACAAGGATTCCAAGGACAGAAACGTGCAATGCACTCATACAGGAGATGTCCTTAAGAATGCTATGTGGACGTGCTACAAATGAATGTGCACAACGTCCTGCACATTGCTTGATCATATGCTATACTATTTGCACGTGTTACACGCAGGCTCGAACGCACGTCTGCGGCAGGCAGGTCTTAGCACACAGGCCTACATGTGTCTATGTGTCTGCGTCTGTGTTTGTGTGCGCTTGCGCGCTGCTCACGGGCGTGCTTGCTTCTGCATGGAGTGGCAGGTGGAGTCCTGGCGCCCGTGGATCTGCAAACTCCGCAGCGTCGGCGCCAGCGTTAGAGCGCCCGTGTGCGGGGCCACCAGCCGCAGCACTCGCAGAGACTGAGGCCACTGCCCTGGCGAAAGCGTGCTCTGGAAAGGGGAAGAAACCGAAATCTGAGGTGATATGAAGCAAGATATAGCAAGATGAAGCGACATGAGTGAAAGGAAAGGTGAGAAGTGACGAAAGTGACGAAAGTGAAAAGAGGGAAAGGACGGGACCCTCAGAAATCTTCCCAGGCCTTGAAGGTCCTCCCTGCGAGGCCCGTGGAGCTCCAAGGCAAATCTGGGCGCGGGGATCCCAGGCAGCACAGTCTGTTTTCGAAGGAACCACCTCCACATCCCTTCAGCAGCTCATTCTTTTTTTTTTCTCAGTGTACTATGTATACTTGCAAGCATTGGGCATGCCATTGCCTAGGGGCAAATGGGGGAGCTGCGACAAGGCGTTGAGATCCGGCCGGCCCTCGCCAGAGAAGCCCACGACCCGGCGCTTGCCGTCGATCTCGCGGCACGCGACGGGGCCTGGGCCAAAGCCGGGGGCAAGGCCCCGGAGCCCTGACCCATGCGACCCACGCGACCCACGCGACCCACGCGACCCACGCGACCCACGCGACCCACGCGACCCACGCGACCCACGCGACCCACGCGACCCACGCGACCCACGCGACCCACGCGACCCACGCGACCCACGCGACCCACGCGACCGACCTGCGGACCCCGCGGACCCGCCTCCGCACATCCTTTGCACCACGGCGAAGTCTTCAGCACAGGGCTTGCCGGTCACACCCTGGTGCCTCAGGACGTTGAAGGAGGTCAGGTTCCTTGGTCGCCATAGTGACTGCCCCGAACTGAATGAACTCCCGAACCAGCCCCTTCGAGGCGAGCGGCCACTCCTCGATGCCAAAGGTCCGGCAGCTCTCCCCCCCCTGCGAGCAGCGGCGAAGAATGTTCTCCCAATCTCGCGGCTCAGGGTCTGAGAACAGCATGTCCTGGTCAAATGTCTTAGCCATTCAAATTCATCTCATTCCTCGAACTCATTCATCTTCTTGATTTTCATCTCAGATTCGTCTCAAATTCAGCTCATTCACCCCTCTCTCCCTCTCTCTCCCTCTCTCCGACTCTCTCCCTCTGTTCCGGGCTCTCGCATGCCCTCGCTCCTCTAAGTCCAGGTCATCAGGCTCACCCACACGGAGCGGCTCGAGCAGGGCGCTCGGCGCGCCCGGCGCGCCTTCGGCGCATCGGTCGCCAAACTTCGCTCACCGATCCGACCGACGTCTGAAACTGCCGAGCTGCGAGGGATTGTCACCCCACAGCTAGACCCACCTGGCTGCAGGCAGCGTCATACAAAGGGCTTGAAGGAATGCAGGAATGCAATTCTGGACCGAGCCTGATTGCGGAACGCCAAGGATAACCAGCAGCTGTGCCAATGGGTGCGCCATCAATCATGCTATCATATGTTGCGGCACATCTTCTTGTATGGTCGGGGCAACTTGACTTCAGAATTGCTGCAAATGGCCGCCCTCGCCCAACGGCCCTCCTGATTTGACACGCTGACAAATCTGAATGTTGGAGACGATGCGCAAAACCATCACAACATGATGGCTGGACTTGCTGGTTGTGGAGTGCCAACTCCCCCTCTTTTAGAAAGCTGACTAGAACAAATGCCGACCTATGGGTCCTGTCGTTGTCGCTTGACTGGGTGCATGCCATATGCGAAGGCATACTCGTCAGCTAAGCAAATGCTTGATGCGCAAGAGGAAAGCATCTCACTGGCGGAATGTCGGATGTCAAATGGCGCAGCTCTCACTCCAATTGTAAGTGCGCTCTCACGGGCTCCGGATGGGGTCCGGCGGAATCTCTTGGCAACATCTCCGCCACCCTGACCGATCGCTCTTTCTCTGCTCCCACGCGCCAAGCCAACTCACGATGTGAGACTTGCCCATATCCATATGTGCCTTTTCTTGGCTGGCACGTGTGTCTGGCAGCCCCTCGCCTGCATATTATGAAGCAAAACACTCGTCAAGAATACGACGTTGGGCTCAAGAAGTCAACCGTGTTGGGGTGCAAGCAGCTTCCAGGAGCTGCCAAGGCTGGATGCCAGAAAAGGCTGTCTCGGAATGCTGCATGCTACTCTCGAACAGCGTATCAATACAACGCCATGGCTGCTTGCTTCCGAAAATTTCCACGTCTTCCTACCATGAACAGGCACCAGCGGCACCAGGCCTTGGAAAGCTGCAGCCATGGCACATAAAGGGTCACCCGGTTTCAGGGCATGTCTGCTGTTGCCCTTTCCCGGCATACGGGATAGGCATACGGGATATTGGCAAACAAAGCTTGGCAGGACTCGACATCTCCGCGTTTGGAACCCTTTGCTGCGCCAATTTGCAGTCGGTCCTGCCTGGCAGCCTGGCATACACACATTGCAACTTCGACCTGTGCGCCCCAGCTTCCGGCACGTTTTTAGGGACCTGTCACAATTGCCCCAGCAATTGACACAAGTTGAGCAAACTGACTGGTGTTCTCCGTGCTCCTGGAAATCCAGCGCTTGCAAGCTCTCCGAAAGACAAAACGGCTTACTTGGATCGGGTTGCCGTACCGTTGCTGTGCCTGGGCACAACTTGTGGAGGCTTGCCTGATGGCCATGTCAGAACTCTCATCCGCCAGCGCGTACAACAAAGTCGATCAAGGGCTGGACGTCTTGCATGGTTATTGCATGGCCACGAGAAGTTCCGGCACATCTGGAAGCAGCCCACAAGCAGGACGTTCCACGTTAACTGGCCTGCGCACATTGAGGAAAGCGGCTGCGCCACCCTCTGGTGCTTCACTCAGTCCGTCTCAGTCAGCTGAGTCCAGAAATCTTTGTCAGATGCTCCTGAGCCGTATCTGCAGGGACACAGCTGACCAAATGATTACAAATCGCTTCGCCGTTGCGGAGGCCATTTGGCCTTGGCCCTTCTCTACAAAGCCCAGTGCGATAGAACATACACATGAATCAAACCCCGGACGCTGGCTAAAGGCAACACCCGAAACTGCAAACCTCAACCCCGACAGCGCTTGGCTATCGAAGCCCGTCCTCCAGCTTTGCAACGCTGTCGCTAAATTGTTTGTCCAAAGTTCTCTGCGTCACCTCAGCCCTTAGTCCGACATGGAAGGCCATTTGGCATGCCGGCATGGCAAGTGCAGATCAGGATGCACAGGAGGCACAGGATGCAAAACAGCAAAACTCCAAGGACTTGGGAGCACACAGGTCTTCCAAAGATTTTGCTTCAGTAAATCGACGCCGTTCATCTCAGGGGCATCGCCATGCATCGCCTCTTGGGCCTGTGGGGCTTGCAATTCTTCCGAACCTGGGTGCACAGGAAGCAGGCGGAGAAGCATACCCTGCAGGTCCTTCCAGTCCTTCCAAAGACACACGCACACACCTGGTGCCATGCTACGTGCCACATCCCTATTCTTGCAAGATTAGTCTTGTTTGCCCCTGGGAAAGATGTAACAAGCACATGACAAGGTGCGGCAGCAGCTCACGCAATTGACCGGGCCAGGTGCAAACCATGTCCTCTGTCTCCAATTGGCGTTGCAAACATGCACTTGGCCGTGCCTTCACCTCCGGCGCCAAGGATCAACATGTGCGGCATGGGTGCATATTAGACTGTCGACAATGCATTCCGTTGTCCAAAAAAAAAACCAAGGCGCGCACCAAACCAATCACGATGTCTGAGAGCCAATGTTTGTTGCCACCAACTGCATCATCGATTCTTGCCTGCAAGTGTAGCTCTGAAATCAGCATGACTTGTGACACGATCATGCTGCATCTTCTTCTGATGAATCCCCGTATATCCGTCCGACTCCGAATCACAGGGTGCCTTCACTGCAGCTGTGAGGCGATCCTCAAGATCGCGTTTTAAATTGTTGAATCGCAGCAAACCACCGATATCTCGAAGCTCCTCGCAAACGCAAACGCCAGAAACACCTTCGCCAACATCAGCGTTTGCGTTGCTTACTTGCTTGACTCGGAATCAGCCCAGCAAGCAGCAGGCCGGGTTTCAGTGGCAACGTCCTGAATTCTTTGGCATTGGGCTTTCTCGCTCTGATCCCACGTCCTAGGCAAAAAATATGAGAAGAACTGCGCGTCACATTATACCGCTTTGGCCAAGCAACTTCTGGATGCTGAGGTGGATTGTGCCCATGCACCAGAGCTGCCTGCACCACGCCCGTGACGCAGCACCACATGGCGCTCGCCAACAAAGAGTACGCGCTTTCGCTGACTGGAATGGGCCTGTCACAGCCGACCGCAGCGCCCAGCCTATTTTGCAAATTGACGAGGGTTTGCCCTTGCTGCACGCGGCTGGGCCTGCAGTGCCGAGCGCTCAACGCAGCGCTTCCTTGACCGCAAGCTGATCGCGCAGCAGAAAAACCGCAAATACTGAAACGGCAAAGCTTGACACGCGCCAGATGGCGCCAGCAGTTCGGCGTTGGCACTCGGCGTTGTCACCGAAAGCTCAAGTTGCAAACAAAGTAGGGTTGTTAGACATGTACCCTGACGCATGCAGTAAAGTCACTCTTCTGAGATGGTGTTGGACACGCTATCAGAGAGGCAGGCCCTCTCCGAGGAGATATCCCAGCGCAACAGCCCGCGCAAACCCGAACATCAGCACAGGCAAATTAGCGCTGCGCTTCACCAGTAAGGTGCGTCACATCCGCTCAACCGCCGAATGACACTTCTATAGCCACTCTAGTATCATCCAAAATATCTCGCACAAAGACCTGGCATATGCCGCACAGAAAGAGCCTCACATGGAAAGTCCAATCTCATCCACCACCGCCAGAAGGGAGACATCAGTTGTGAAGTTGACACTCAACCACCCCTTTTGCGGCGCAGCCACTGAAGCACATTCTGACACTCCTTCTCCGCGCGGCGCCCGCTGACTCCCATGAGAATGCTCCAAAATTATTATCATCGGCTGGACAACGAGTTCCGGGCCGCCGAATTCTGGTGAGCTCCCGTGAGGATTTCTTAGTTGTTTTCGTCGGCCAGAAAATGATATCTGGGGCAGAATCCCCAAAACCTATTTTCATCAGCTGGAAAACTAGGTTGGGAGCACCGCTCAAAAGGCTATTCTGGTGAGACTTCCAAAAGAATTCCCCACAGTCATCTTCGTCGGCTGGAAAATAAGATCGGGGGCAGCATCCCCAAAACCTGTTTTCGTCAGCTGGCAAGCGAGTTTGGGAGCACCGCTCAAAGGGTCATTCTGGCGAGCCCCCAAGGGCTGGAAAACGAGTTTGGGGCCGCTGAAATGGCGATTCTGGTGAGCTTCCGAGAGGGATTAAAGTTCTTTTCGGCTGGAAACAAGCTTGGGGGCACCGCTCAAACTATGCTGAGCCCAAATTCTTTTCATCGACTTATTTTCATCGGCTAGAAAACGAGTGTGGGGCCACTGCTCAAAAGAGACCTTCTCAGCAGCGAATGGGCACTGCGCAAAAGGATCCGATTTTGATCAAAACCTACAGATTCCAAACTTAGCATGCCCAAAATGCTTCGGACTGGTCTTGAAACTTGTTTTGCACGAGCCTAAAGTAATATTTAGAGCCACTCAGGGCCATGAAAACCAATGTGCCCTCTTTTGCGACCACAGTGTGGCAACACTTTGTATTTCCACCAGGTCTCCTGTAGACAAAGCCTAGTTCCATCGGTTTAGATCGACACCCAAATGAAGGATTGTCTAGCTCCCTGATGCAACTCCTTGAGCTCAGGCGCAGTACGTCCTGACTTGTTAATTGCCTAGCTGCAAACAAGGAATGCGCGCTTGCTCTGAAGAGTTCAAACCCACACCGGAAGGACTCAGACTCAAGTTTCTCAAACCCCAACGACAGAGAAAACAACAAATAGGCCCTCGTCTGTGTGACATCGCCGGTGCCGCAACAAGTGAACCGGCAAAAGCCGAAGAAGCTTCCTCCTCCTCCTTCTCCTGAACCTCCCTCCTCCTCCGAGTCACGCAGATACGCTGGAATCCCGAATTCCGCCCTGGATGCTCGCGAAAAGCCACGGATTTACAACCGCGCGGCCACCTCGAACGAGCGCCTTCGGGCTCCGGATCATCCACGCACCGCCGGCGCCCGAAACGTGCCGCCCAGCGGTTTGAGGATGCCCGGCCCCGCTAAGCCGTCGCAGGCCATGTTGAGGCAGTCGCCCGAAAGGCGTCATAGTGCCAAATGACCGTCAGCACCAACCCGCAACGCGGCCACCCCGCCTGTTCCATCTCCACCAGCGTGCCTTGGACTCTGCATCCCGTGGTTTGCAAGCAAAGGTTCACGGGGTCTTTCCGTCTTACTGCTGGAACTCCGCTGATACTGGAGACAGTGGGAAAATCGTTACGCCATTCATGCAGGTCGGAACTCTCCCTTGCAACGAGCAGCATTGGCAAATTTGCTTTGGAAACTGGTGCAGAATCCAAGCCGGAATGAGTGC